AGGGACCAATTGCCTCTAACGAAAAGTAATTCGAATTTCGTAATATCGAATCGGCCAATCATGAATCAGGATAAAACTGCCAGTAGCCTGATTAGAAATCGATTTTATATCCGAGTTCTTGTAAAAACAGGTGATAAAGGCACTTGTTCGAGTGGAAAGTTAGTAAGCTGGGATCGTCGTTTAAGCGATGCGATGGATGCCTTCTGCAACTATCCAGACATAACCAGACTGTTATTAAGTAGTAACAGCTGTTTGTCTGATAAATCAGGAGCACAAACGGAGAGAGCAAAACGACAAACGTATGTTGATCATCAGCTAAAGAACAGCTGCTTGAATTGTTTAACATCCATCATAGGAGCAAGTGTAATAATAATCTCAACCATAATAGTTGAATAAAACAGCCACGAATTTTTTCTGTTTTTTTATGATTGATCATTGTGACATGTAACGAAGTGGGTAGAATGAACTGAAGCATAATCTTCGTTTCGTCCGATCTTTGGGGTACGATCATTCTTCCACTTGTATATAAAAGCAAGATCTAATCCATATACTAAGAAGCTAATCTAAAACTTGAAAGCTAAGATACGTACACACTGACGTATTGTTTCGGTTGCTTGGTTCTTCGCAACATAGTCAGTGTTACGGTATCGTATGGATAGAAACAATGTTTGCGAACGGCTAATATGCAAACAACTGATATTGTCTGTCTGAGTTTTTCTTAAATTACTTTGTCATTGATCGATGTTATAATATAACGGGGAACCCCTGTCCTATCGTTGTTGTTGTTGTACCGGGCTCCGGAAACTAAAAAGGCAGTCACAGTTGTTACTTTGCCTGATCTTTAGAAAGCTGACACGTCAACTTTTTCTACAGCAATGAAAGCTAGAATATACATAAGATATCCATGGGCCTGTATTTAACGAACATTTCCGACTCTTTAGCGCAGAGGCAAAACTAGGTGTTTGTCTGTACTTATTGCGTCTATTGTGAAGTTGTTGTTGGAGTAGAAAAAAAAATCCAATGAGCCAAGCTACAAACAAATACCGTTGTTTATATGTTGTTACTGCGGATGTATGAGTGTTGTATGTGGTCTTATAGTTAGAATGTAAAACATGTACTAGTTAATTGCTTACGTACCTATGTTTTTAGCCGATTTCTCGCGTTTATTAGTCTCAGACTAGGGCAATTTTTACTATAGACCTCTTCTTATTTCATGCACGAATTACGCAGCCAGGCCATCTACTGATTAGATACATCAAGTCTGATCCTGATTTTTTACTATCGGTTAGTATCGCTCGGTTTTTATATAGATGTGGAGGTTCGTTCCATTTCAAACTTGCGTTTTATAGACATCTGTGCCGGTCGTTGTTCGCATAACATTAACTAATATCACATCAACTGCATAGTATCTCACTTGGAAAAAACGTGTCACCCAAAAAGGCCATCTGGTTGTGTTGATCGTCCATATTGATTGTTAAAAATGATAAGCTAATTGAAATTTCTGCATGTCTGATAAGGAGTAGGATGGCAATATACATTCAAAGATAAGATTTATCTCACTTTTTCGTCCATGATCACACTTGCGCCTTTAACGTCATTCAAAATTCTAGGCTTCTCGAGTCTTGTCGAATTTCTCGTTCTCGAACAGGCGCCGAGCATTGAACAGCAGCAGCAGCGGCGGCGGCGGCGGCGGCGGCAAATTTCGAACAAAAGTAGACCAAGGTCCAGCGGGAGTCCATTGACGGCAGCCGCGCTGCGTAGGAGCACACAACTTGCCTGCCGTTGTTGGTTCAGACCGTCTCAGATTAGATACTCGATATTATGGAACGTGTGACAGCGGCAGGCCGTAGCGAATTTGTCAAATTGCAGTGGTTTGTGTTGTACGGGGCACCGATCTCAGCATTCCGAGACGAAAAGTTCCAATGCGTTACAGACAACACAGGAATCCGAAAGATGATGCCAATAAGTTATCGAAGTACAATAATAATTACATAATACGACCTCATAAAAATAGTAGGTCGCGCTAAAATTTTTCTGTTTTTATTTGATTTGAGGTTTGTTTGGGGTGGCATTACGCTTATACGTCAGCAGCAACAACAACGGTCATAGTATCTGTATTAGTGTCGGGATGTTAGATATCTAGCCATAGTATATCGACAGGTAGAAACTTACCTAGCCCTGCGTTCTCTGAGAGATCGTATTCGGCGTATTTTAATATCTTAATAGCAAACAATAGGGAGTGGAGCTGATTTCACAGAAGCGTGAGTAATAAACTTTAGAACAATGCACCCAGGTACGTTAAAGCTTTTGACCAATTTTTAATTGCAAGTATATTTTTGATGGAAACATGTTTCTTTGTAACATCATTACAAAAAAAAAGAAAGAAAGAAACGTACGCTGGCGTACCGTCTTATGTATAGGCCACTTTTATTTAGTTTCTCATGTTGTGTAGTACGTGCCGATGATGGGCTCGACCCAAGTGCCCCCAGCTTCTTCAATATGTATATGCATAATAGACAGTTATTAATATCTTATTAACTTGTGGACACACAACACAGCGTTAGTTCCCCGATATTGTGTTAGTTATAGTTTGTATAGTGACGATCAGCCCGCAAGTCATTACCATATGGCTTGTTGGTACTTTTATTAGTCTTCTGCTAGCCACTTCAGTGCCACAAAGGACTCTATCGACTATGAGTGATCAGGGCAGCTCTTGATTTGATTGCCAATAAGCGCCATTCTGATGAAGATACACACACACACACGATCATTCATCATATCCGATCATTCGGAGATAGGAGCCTCTGCCATTGCTGTTCATGCCTTCCTTCTGAAGCAAATAGTGTTCATTGGTATAATCATTATAATTATTTATGACACAAAACAACGTAAGATCAATAATTATGACAAGGTCTGATGCCTAAAAAAACCCGGACGAAGATTTTGGCGGGATAGAGGAACAAGAATTGGGTGAGGCAATAGATAATGAAAACCACAAGAAGACTAATTAGCTTTAAAGGTTTTCACCAAACTGTGATCGTTGGAACGTTATAAAGATACGTATACACATGTGAGATACGGAGAACGATACATTTAGTTCGTTAGGGGTAATTCCGGTGCCAAGCCAGGACGAGTGCATCGTAAGGCGGCATCCATTATCGCATCGCATCCCGCGTCATGAATATTGTGAAGATAATGACTGGTTTTTGTTATTAGTGCGAACGCATTTCATATTAGCGCAATATATATAATCCCCAATTATGATATCATATACATTGATAATGAATCGATGTAGTCTCAATCAGCCCGTGAGGAATCGTCTTTCCAGAAGACTCATGCGCCACTTTTGCTTAGTAGTTCTGAATCTTCATGTTGTCGTAGAACTTCCAATATTTTCGTGTTTACTCTGGCGGCAGAGGTGTTAATGAAGTCTTCTTATTACAGGGCTACCCGGGCCCATTTTCATCTAATTTTGGGTCCCTCGAAGATACTGCGTTCTTTTTCGCAGTTGTTCGCCTATAACTGAAAACTATATATATATATATATATATATATATATATATATATATAGATTGATTGATTGTATGTATGTTTGTTGAGTAGAACTAAAACAGAATTTATACTAAGTAAAGTATTGGTTTAATGGCTTGGTAGCAAAGGAAAAGGTTTTTCTACGTCAGATTGATACGCTTGTATCAGCCCGTTTTGTGAAAGTATAATACATTTGCGTCTGTACACAGTATAAAAGCGACTCTGTCTAATCCTACGGAACGTATCTAGGCAACTGTTATAAGATGTAGGAGTAAAAACTAATTTAAATATTTTCACGGCCATAACAGGGCTGTCACCGTACGGTACATATTTTTATGAAGAAACAGTTAGCCAGTTTTACGGCTCCATAGTCGTCACAAAACCGAAAAGCGAGACAAGGTCATTACTACTGACGACATTATTATCAAAAGTTTTTTTATTTTAAAGTTGATAGGAGGTCCCGGGCCGCCAAGTATCGTTGCTTCCTTATTGATGCCGCGTCAGACCTTCCCGGCTACAGTGCATAGTTAAATGCATTGTATTCCCTCCATGACGGAGTCTTGATATCAATAGAAAAAGCAGTCGCTAAGACTTTGTCTAGCTTTTTTCTCGTGTTAGTAGTAGTAATAATAATAATAATAACAGTAGATCGATGTACATAAATCCTTTCTCACTTTCATAACGGTAGAAGCTTGGCAGACAGACCCGATAAACAAAACCATAGGGCGGTGCCCGTACATCCATAGAGTAAGGATACGGTCGCAATGACAGCGGTGTTAAACAAGGGGGTGTAGTGATGCACGTTTTAAACGTCTGCGGATCAGCTGATGTTGGCCAGACGGGAGTGGACACAGCCGGGCCTGGGCCAAAGGTCAATTGTCTTGTCCTTAAAGTAAAGCCGCTTTTTTGTATATGAATAAAAATGCATCGATGTTATACTGCGGTCGCATATACCTAAGAACGCTGCTCGCTCAAGGACAAAGACACAAAGCGAATAATTAGCACGAAGTTTCAGATAATTAAACATTTTTAACCCGTTCCTTTGTTTCTCTATCGACACTCAATGAACCGCGACGTTCTTTGAAAATGTTTGTACTTTCAGCTTAAACAATTACTAATGATATGTTATGAATATATACTATATATTTTTTCTATTATATATATATGTTTTTCTATTTGGTTTCTGTTGGAAAAATACAATAGGTATATAATGCATTGTTACTATCGAAATTTCATATAATGAATTAAACATTATATGGTGTTTCAGGTAGGTCATCTAACTTATTCATGATTCTCCATATAGGGTGCGGTGCATGGATATTGAATGATATACTACAAATCAATTATTTATTCATGGATGTACCTATTTTCAGCCTCTCAATATTTGGGAATAGTGAAGCAAGACCTCATTTTCACAAAAAGGAGTTTATCTTCAACAGATACGTTGTCTTTATTACTTGTCTTTCCAGGGCTCTATTCCGTGACGACCTTCTACCCAAAGGCACGAAAATTATCGGCTACGGAAGATCACCGCTAACGATCGAACAGCTAGAAGAAAGGATTCGACCATACATCAGGGTATGGAGATAGCAGAATGATCATACTTAGCAAAACCTTTATCTGAACCTTTTATTATTACATACCGACTTAAAGCGTTGCGTACCATCGTTCTGTAGCCCGTACTTATACTATTAATTATATTAGAAGGTTATATCAAATCCCATTTGTGTACAAAGATAATCCAATTAGTATAGAAAAACAGTGCTTAGAAGAATTGCATATCACGAGTTATTGAAGTATCCGATATGTCTAATACGTTGAGCATGAACAAGAAGTTTTGATTGAAAAATCGAAATAGTCCTTAGTAATGGCAAAAGGAGGTTAAATTCTCTTGAACCAGACAGGCTTGAGTGGTAATCGTCAGAACTGTGAGGTATTTTTTTGCATCACGAGAAAAGGCACCCTTATGCAACTGCTGTGTTGTTAAGACGCACATTTAAGAAATCTCGCGGCACTATTTGAATTGTTAAAGAATGGTTCAATTAAAAAATTTCCATAGGTGCTAGAACGGGTTTACACAGGAATAGTTATACGTTTTGTGCATTTTTAATACGTTATGCATCACGACATGTTATTTCATACTATTTCTTCGATCCGTTTAAGACGTATTCCATAACGGGGTACAAATTTTAAACTACTACGCCATGGATTGAAGGTCCCTATTAGACGAGTTACTACTATACCAACTAATACACTATGGATAAAAACGACACTCACACATGCGCGCACAGTCTCACATAACTTACGTGTACAAAAAAAACATACGCAAAACAATCAAATACAAGCTGGACGTGAATGATAATGACGGAATATTCTGTGTATCCCTCGTGTGCTCTTGCTGGCGCCATGCAACAGTTTCGTGATACAAATGAAGACGGTCGAGCTCAGGTATGAACGAAAAAGGATTTCTTCAAATCACGATCATGTCCCACATTTTCGTACTACTTTTCTACGTTTTCGTGTTTTCCTGGCAGAACTATGTCTCTCAGCGCTATTTGCACGTGGCGCGTTTCTATGCACATCTGTGACCTGTTCTTGTATCTTGCAACAGTGGCTCAAACTGATCGGTTCAGCCGTAAGCTGTAACTAACAATAGATGGCAAACAGTAAGCAGATCTGGTCCTCGCCTAATCTAGTTGATTAAGCGAAGAGAGACAGAGAGTCTAAGGCAAGATGTTATTTTGACAACAAACGTATACGCTTCTAATGTATTAGCAGGAAACATTGCTTAAACCAATTTGTCATGCATGATTCTGCTCTGCTGGATATGTTAATATTTAATCTAACCGAAATGCAATGGTCGTATGTGTTCGATATTAACTACTTTGTTCCAGTATCGACACTTTCCATGGACATCCTGTCCAATGTCTGGGGATGCGTGGCTTTTACTATGAAATTCTAGCTCATGTTTTCCATTCAGACTATTCACTAAAATTCACTAAAATATTCCGCTGTTTATACGGAATCGTCTTAACCGTTGTTTTTAAATTCTGGTTATAGCGGGTGCCGAAAAGCCGATGGTGATCAGCAAATCGTACTTTTGTCTTCTCTATAAGCGAGTACGAGTTGCATCTTGAGACCTGTATCGGCAATTTGTATTGAACAGCACCCAGATCGTAATCTCAGAATCAGTGTATGTACGTACTGCAGGCATGTCTTGACAAAAATATCAACATGTCTCTGGAACCGTCCAATGTATGCACATTATTAGATCTGTCGAGTTATTAAGCAACACATCAACAACAAGTATCTATGTAAGCGGATGTCAATGTGTTAGATTTTTTTAGCATATAAATTAGTCCTTCCAGCTGCTTATTCGTGCTGTTATACTATTGTCACTATTGTTGTCTACTATTGTTACTACCTGTCATCTTTGTCATGTCTTGCGTTCGCTTTTTATCTTCTGCACTCAAACTGTGTGAATATAACGAATATTCCTTCTAACTATGCGTGCCAGTTTTACGTGTAAGCCACTGCTTTTCTCCGTTCCGTTTTTACTTTTAAGGGTAATCAATAAATTGATGACAATGTTCTATTTAAGTACAGGTGAAGCCTTGCACTATTGTGACGAGAAATCATTGGCCTATCCACAGTTTCCGCAAGGACTAAATTCTATTCGATCCCATTTTATCTCTCATTATCTTAATACTTTTGTCTAAGATTTTGGTTAGCACTGCGGGCAGAAACGATCGTAGAGGCCAATCTGATAATGTTCGGCAGTTTGAGGTTATTAGAGGCTGAGACTGCATGTGTTTAAGCGTAATGCTAAATACTTTCATGCTATGTATAACGAGTTGCTTACAATCGAATGCAGCCGTCGTATTAAACAGTTACTGGTAAACTGGTCTGATAAAAAAGATCCGGGATTCAGTAGCCGCCTGGATATTTGAAAAGACCGATTATTCATTCGTGACTAATTGTTCCCCTCTAATGTGTTAACAGCAGCTACGAGAATCGGATGAAGTTCTCTTTAAAGAGTTCTTCACTGCTAACAGCTACGTCACCGGCAGCTATGACGAAGCGTCGGCCTTCGAAAATCTCCAGGCCCATTTATTGGGCCTTGAAGAGGGCAGCATGGTTGCAAACAGGCTTTTCTATCTCGCTTTACCGCCAACTGTCTTCCAGTCCGTTTCCAAGATGGTTAAGCAGTACTGCATGAGCTCGAGGTAATGCAGTCCACATCGAATTTTTGCAGATATTCTGTAGTCAGTTTTTTCAGTAATGTATACGAACTCATTACCTTTACGTGCTCTACTTTGACGTTATAATTCACTGTTTTAATGTGCATTTATTTGGAATGATCCCTATATGACGAATTTTCACTGAAGTACAACAGGGAATCAGCGTTATTATTTCGTGAGCGCATATTGTTTGTAAACGATTTCAGTGGATGGTCCCGACTAATTATCGAGAAACCGTTCGGGCGCGATCTGAAATCCTCTGCTGAGTTATCTCGTCATCTTGCGTCAGTCTTCAAAGAAGAACAGATCTATCGTATAGATCATTACTTAGGAAAAGAGATGGTCCAAAACCTCATTACCCTTCGATTTGCTAATAGGATCTTTGGACCGACTTGGAATAGGTGAGTGTTTCTGTACAACCCTAAGCTACAACAAAAGTTCACGAGCTATTTGTCTCTGTACATACGCTTTCCTCATCGACCTTTGACTCGTGGGTCAGATAAAGACATAATAGATGTGTATTACTGAAAGACGGTTATTTTGAAGCTGTCGACAATTCATTGATGCAACGAATAAAGCCCTTTTAATGCCTGTTACAGATGATCTGCAATTCGGTTTTCGACAATCTAAAACATCAATATAGACGTTCAGCGTTTTTAAAATGTCGTTGTTATCGTGTAAAATATCACTGTTTTTTGCATTTCTTTTGTATACACGTGTTTTCCTCATGCTTACAGGGACAACATAGCCTGCATTGTGATCACCTTTAAGGAAGATATTGGCACACAGGGTCGCGGTGGTTACTTCGATCAGTTTGGAATCATTCGTGATGTCATGCAGAATCACTTATGTCAGATTCTCAGCATTGTGGCAATGGAGAAACCCGTATCCACGAAGGCCGATGATATTCGAGATGAGAAAGTTAAGGTAACAACATTAGAGTCCCCTTCCATTGTTACTCTATGACGATTCAAGACCGCAGATGCTGTCAGTTTCTCAAAGCAATTAGTATGTATTAATTCTAAATAAGGAATATTGCATTTATCAGGATGAGCTTCTCACTGTAGCGTACAAATTTTCAATTAAATCGCGTAAAATTTAGTTCGTATTAAACAAACTTATTTATATGATAATTTTCGCTAGCTAAAAATAACGGACTGCTCAGGAGCAGCTCCTCCAGGTTCCTCTATTTCTCATCGAGAGTTTTTTGGGCCTTTTAACTTTGTGCGCTCTAAACACTGCGCAGCACCTCAAATAATCATATATTTCAGAAACGGAGTCCAGGAGTTAAATAACACTGTCTATACGATACGCTTCCAACGCTCTCAATGTATTTTTATGTTCTACTAAAGGACATCGCATACGGCTATATGTATCTTTATCTAATCTGGTTGTATCCTTATGTGCAATGTTGAACTTTAAAATATGTTTTACACACCTTTTACAATTAAAAACAAGCTTGTAATACTTCTATAATTTTGCATTATTAGGTTCTGAAGTGCGTGTCCCCGATTCGGCTAGAAAATGTAGTTCTCGGTCAATATGTGGGTAATCCATCGGGCACTGCAGAGCAGACGCAAGGCTATCTTGACGATCAGACAGTGCCTCGTGGTTCCATTACTCCCACGTTCGCTACAGCCGTATGTTATATTAACAATGAGCGTTGGGATGGTGTTCCATTTATTCTGCGATGCGGAAAGGGTATTTATTGTTCGATAAAAAAGTATTTATTTGTTATAATAAACATAACGATTATTAATTATGCTCGAGTGTGGGTTAACACCCTCGGGATTCTCATTGAGAATATTCTTGTCTTGATAATGCATAAAAACCAAACCCAAGATTATCTTGACCATGTGGTTCCCTCACTCTCAAGTTTGCTATAGCGCTATTTTATATTAACAAGGAACGCTGAGAGAGTTACAATAAAGTTACTCAAGTCATATAAAATTATATATAAATCATCATGTCACACCTTAAAACTTAACAAACTATGCGTCTTTCACTCAATGGCTGCAATACATTCATTGTGGGTATGTAGAGTGGACATCCGCCTGGGCGTATTGGGTACTTTAATACATTTATAGCTCGCGTATAAATATGAACTATTAACATTAGAATGGTTTAAAAATCCTCGACGAGACGAATAAAAATTCATTTTCACACACCGGTTCGTTGGGGTTGGTTCGTGTGCAGTCCGAACACGCGTTTAATCCATTATCTTTTTAACCCGTTTCTACTCTAGCACTGAACGAACGCAAGGCCGAGGTGCGTATTCAGTATCGCGATGTTCCTGGTGACATCTTTGATGGACAAACAAAACGTAATGAGCTTGTAATGCGCGTACAACCCGGGGAAGCCGTCTACGTGAAACTGATGAACAAGAAGCCAGGAATGTCGTTCGGAATCGAGGAAACCGAACTAGACCTCTCGTACAATAGCCGATACAAAGTAAGATCAGCAAAAGCATTCAGGCTGGGTAATAGTTCCATGAATGTCTTCCGCTTCTCGGGATAGAGGACAAAGAGTATTCCATTCTCGTTAGCCCAGAACCTTCCCTAGTAGTAAAATTGTATAAGCCAAATATTGCTAAAATACATGAAATTTATTGCATCTGTTATAAAATGTTACTGGCAAGGTAGTTATTGATTTTCTTCCCTCTACATGTGGCAACATTAGGGTATGGTGCTTCCGGATGCTTACGAACGACTTATCCTTGACGTCTTCCTTGGTAGTCAGACCAACTTTGTACGTAGCGATGAGTTGGCCGAAGCCTGGCGTATCTTCACGCCGTTGTTAAAACGAATTGAAGACGATCGCGCTAAACCAATTCGATATGTTTTCGGAAGGTGAGTAATACTTGTACATTAAAAGCTCCATCAGGCGATTGAAAAGCTTCGTGTTCGCCCGACTTCCTCTTCTGAATTGTCTGGCTATCGATATCTCAGTTATTGGGGGCTTTAATTAGTTGCTGTCACATTCAGCGTGCGTATCGTCATTTCGGTTCGGCTGCAATGAAAGATTATACAATTTAGAATGGACACGACTGAATGGTGGGCGCGGGAACTTTTTGTTTCTGTTTCTCTCTCTGTCTCTTTTTAGATATATGTATATATTATGTAAGTGGCAGTTTTTTTTTGATGGGGCTGGCGCGAGTAGAGGTGGGTTTCTCTATTTCATTTTGTGTTTTCTTCTGTTGTCCGGTGGTCTGGCTCGTCACACACCTCATTGTCGATTGCCGGTTATCCTTTCTCTGCTGCATGCCACCTTCTTTTTCCGTTATGTTCTTGGTTGCTGTTGTTGTTGTTCTTGTTGTTGTGATTTGTTCGTTCCGTTTTGCAGACCTAACTTTAGTCTGCGACCAGATCCCCCTCCCATGGCCTCTTCTTCTTCTGTCCACGCAGCGCAGCGATTGTCACACTCAAGTCCTCAGTCCTTCAGCCTTCCCTCAGTGCACTCCCCCAACTATGCTGCGACATCCTCGCCTCGTTCGTCTTCCACCTCCACCACCGCCTCTTACTTCTCTACCACAACCTCGTTCCACCGCTCACCGACGCTTCCTGCTATTATACCCGTCCTTCACGAGGAACATGTCGTACATCAGCAGCAACAACGCAGTATAGATGCAGTCGAAGCATACTCGAACTCAGCGTCAAGCCAACAACAACAGCCCTCAGGCTCCTCACAGACTGTCGCGTTAGGCGCAGTCCAAAAGCAGCAGAAGAAAGTCCGCCTCATTCAGGTCCCCGCGTCTGAACTACCATCGGGGGGTATCAACGGACCGTTGAGGCCGCTCCGATCGACTCGACTAAGGCCTCGGCCACCCCGGCACCCGCCGTTCTCGCCGATTTACCAGCTGCATAAGGAGGTTAAGCATTTGTCGTTCCTTTTGCTCATGGTTATTCTGGCGATCGTCATCTGCGTTCTGCTTTATTTTATGCTTAAGCAACGCCGCGAGCTGACGCGCAGGTTAATAAAGGACCGCTACTTTACTTGAACGTCCGATCGAAGGAGGTCACACATATGGGACAGAACCACGTTGTTGAAGAGATGGAAAATTTCTACCTTCCGTTGACCGACTATGAGTTCGTGTCTGGTGGATCGGAACATGCTGATCATATACGGGCCGTGTAATGTCTATGTGTGTGGCAAGTAGCGAACCCAACTTGTCCAATGAGGTACTAGCCTTTCCCCCGTTCAATCTCATTGACGATATTGTGTTTCTCGCCCGACAAAAGTCAGCACGATAGTATGCATTCGACGATTGGGCGATTATGGGTTTCGATCGGTTACACGGCATATATACAAAATATACTGACGAACGGCTGACGATTAAGGAGTTGGTGGAAGTTGCATTAAGCGATTTTTGAATCAATCGTCAGTGTCGCTTGTTTCGCGTATGTTGCTTGACTTATTGTCACGACACCGGGATGCCTTGTAGAAAAGGCGTATGATTCAGCTGAGTCACTTTTGCGGATGAAGCAAACATAAAAAGCCTTCAGGACGTGTCTGAATAGGTTCTTAAAGGCATTATAGTTTATCATTTCTATATCTATTTGGTGTGCATGGTTGAGGTGTTGTGACTTGCTTTATATTAAGGATTGATTCTGCTAAGAGCCTCAGGACGGCTTGCTTCTGGTTTATCTTGTCTTTACCTTTGGGAATGCGTTATGCTGTCTGCGTGCGATGTGTCTGTGCTGTATTGTTTGAAGGCATTAACCTGTATTAATCGCGTACCTCCATGCATTTTAAATATACTTATTGAATAAGAATTTGGAAATTATCTCGGCTCATTATCCTAAATTAGTTAGGAGTTATCGTTGATAAGTTGATGAGTTCGTTATTAGCACATCTGTATCGACCAAACCAGGCTTGACTCTTCTAATTGATGAATGCCAAATGACGTTTCAGTCGCGGTCCCAAGGAGTCCGATCTGCTGATGAACTCGAAGGGCTTCAATTACTACGGAACCTACCGTTGGGACAGGAACTCCAAGATATAAATCCGTCTACAGAGGCACGGTCACAAGAGCGTCTAGTCGACTGACGGGGTACGTCCAAACAACATCTACTGGCGTCAGACCGCACGTGTCTTCGAGTAGCTTTAGAGCACTTACCACATCACCACGTTGTGGTTGCGTCGCGAAAGCGCACCTGACGTTTCGGAAGGCGTCGTTTGTCAACTTTAGGATTGCTCTTCACGTTGGACGGCACCCTCTTCGCGCCCTGGTCACAAGTAAACCCTGAGGCAGCGGTAATAAACTACGTGTCTCGTTGCCCGAAGTGCCCTGCTCACACCGAACCTCCCCTCATCTGAAGTGGGAAAAAATTATTGATACTATTTTAAACACAGTTTACTACAGAGCGTCATCAGGCAAACTATGCTTTTTTTGTCCGTCGGGTTTACTTCAAATGTTCGTGTAGTTACATTCTCGTTACGTCAACTTTTTGTTTTTAAATGGTAACTGCTTGTCTAAGTGGAACCTTAATACACCACCTGGCAGAAAAGGGGTTGTCGACGTACAGCGTTCTTTTAATCGGTTATTACGTCTTCTGAATCATTAACCTAGATGAGTATGATATGATAACAAGTTCTTGTAACAAACTTATTCACGATTCCAAGACAAGAGATAAACGGTTTAAAGTGGTCATGTTTATCGATCTCTGAATAAACTGAATAATAATGTCACTGTTATAACAGTATGTGTTGTCAGTCAAATCGATAGTGTGTCAATACGTGTAGATAGATACATGTACGTCCAAAGCGTATCGATAAGTTGTATAGTCCGAAACGAAATGCCCATTTCTATTCGGCAGTACGATTGTACTGGAAGATGAGCTAAAACACTTTTCCGAGTTTCCCGAAAAAACTGCGATATTCAATAATTGATATTTCAAGTTCCAGTTACCAAATATCTTTCTTACAGAGTTTTACGAAGCTCTAACAAATCTCGACTTCTCCTTTAAAATATGGAGGCTTTTTTAGTTTGGTTAGCAAGGTCACTCTGTCCCCTGTTCGAAGATGCGTAAATGATAAGATACCATTCATTATAGTTACGGATGCGGTAGTTTGAACCGCTTAATATTAACATCCGTTATTAACCTATATACGTTTTGAAGTAAATCCAAAGTTGTATACCGTAACTTGCGTACAGATATGCATATAACGTACCGTATGGACCGTAGAAATGAACGAACTGGAAAGACATTGCTTCTTAGCATTAGTCTTATTTAGGCTGAATTAAGTCTTATCTCAAGTTCACCTTATGCTCCGCAATATATTACTTACTATTCCTGCTTTTTTAGAATAGCTGCTTTTATAGGGATGCATGCGTATCACTAGCATGATAAGGGAAGATCGCACATATACTTTTCCCTCGGTACTCAGAAAGAACGCTTTGGAGGTACCGTATAACATCGTGGATTTAAGCTTCTACTCATAACAGCAACGCAATCGATGTATTTTTATGATTTGTTGTCAGCTTTAAAGGAAAAGATGGCACAGGTTTAGGTAAGGTATAAACATGGCTTAATAAGCTCTTTCTGATGACCTACACACCCAAACGGCATCAACAAAGCGACGTTCGCACAACGCTACACAGCCAGTGGTCCTTAAATGTGTGTGTGCTTTACGGATAAAGCTATACGACAGAACCTTCAGACGGAACTTTGCTAGAGACCAAAAAGAACAATAGAAGAAACGCACAATAAGAGGCAGACGTGAGACGTTTGACAGGCTGGATTCACATCTATGAACCAGCACACGTAAAGGTAAAGAGCGCGTATCTTCGGATCCTGCCTGTTCATGAGCTTCATACAATTCAGAGGCAACAGGGCATTTATCCGTCCAATATCGCTTACGAAATCTGCTTTTTGTGTTTAGTTTACTAGGACATTAAAAAAAATGTTTAGTGATTTCAGATTAGCGTAACTTATCTACCTGACACGTTTCAATGCAACTATCTAAAATGTTGACTGAGATAAAATCGACAAGCAGACAACAAAGCATCATGCCTGTTGAAAATACTACTGTGTTAAATGAACGTCGATTTCCATCGGCCATAGAAAGGAAAAGACAGACGAAAATCTAGATACAGATAAAATTGTGCATTGATTCCCAAGACTACCGATAACCCCTGGTAGTGTAGCACAACCGTTCGATAATATCTCCTCTCATTCTTTGATTTATTTTTGTAAATAGAACTAGTTTTACCGTGATATAGAGGATATTACCGTTCATCAAAGATGCTTCACTATAAATACTCTTCTACTTTCGATTTTAAGGTATACATGCACTCGGTTACAAGTTACGGTACTACAACTTCGCTGATATTTTTGGAATTATATTTACAAACGCAAATGATTGCGATAAGGGCTTTATTACCATTGTATATACAATTTATATAGGTAAGTAGATGATTTGTTTCAACCTGGACAGAATCGATAATTTCACTACGTAGAATAACTGTCGTCAGTTTTCGTTGTCGTCTGCTACAGCCGGCACTTGATCCTTATTACAGTCGTGAGACGGGCTGCCTACTGCGACGTTCTACGTTTTTTCTGGCTGATTTGCCCAGGTTGCACTCGTCAGATTTGCTCAGAGAGAAAACTGGTCGCAAAGGCCGTAGGGGATCACGCCGCTATTTTCGAAGAAGAGAATCGCCAACCTACCAATGGTCTTTCATAAATGCTCGTTCTATGGCTTGGCCTCTTATTCGCTCAGTGGCTTGCTGCCGAGACGAGCAGCTACCTTTTAGTGAGCGTTTATTAAGTATCCATTAGAATACATTAATCAGAGTGCATTATTCAGATACGTCATTTTACCTTACGTTTGGATAAGCAGCGCGAAAACAAATCATACAATTGCCTATATGTGATTGGCCTTTTTTTTGTCTTCATGTAAAAAAAACATCACACAAAAACTGGTCGGAACTACAGACCGACAGCTGAAAATAGCCTACGATAATTCACATCTTTTTGAAGTTGTGCTGTGACTATATCAATAACAGAGTTATCTGGGTTATACAAATTTCCTGAGTAGTAATGGTTGTTTTCTGTACCGGATTCACTGTTACTGAAAAATTATATGCTCATTGACCAGCGGCACACGGTCCATAATCTAAGGTATTAATCAATTCATTTGTCGAATCGAGTACGTCATGGTATCTAGATAATACCTTTGTATGATACTGGGGAACGTTCAGCATTTACTGAGTAGTACATAGAAAAAGAATCAAATTATCACTGATTTCGGTGCCTTGTTCCTATATATTTGTCTGTTATGATTTATAAATAATTGATGTGCAGCGTTACGTCATGTACTTTGGGCGCCAGATGTGACATTTAGTAGCGGGATTAATCTGACTCCAGTGGGAAATCCGATGAAGTCTATTTGAAGTATTATGCGGATATTGATCGAAAATGATCGCCAGATCATCGACACAAAGGCATCGAATAGGCGATCAATATTGTTTACGAGAACGTCTCAATGTGTACACAAAATTTGATAGCCTTTATCAGGCTATAGACGCCACTCCAGGGAAGTAAGGAACGGCTCATTTTAACGCACAATGTATTTTATAGATCTGCTGTAAGTAAACAAACGCCAAACACACGAAACGTAATAGAATCTCCTGGTAAATATTCTAGGTTAGTGTTGTTTGTGGAGGTTTTATCCAAACAAAGAGAAAAAGATATTTCGATGGAACTTCTCGCAAGTGCTAAAAATTACATTTCCTGTCATGTACATTCGACGTAGGCACCATCAACCGCAAGAACTTCAACTTAGGACCTATACCGCTCACATTTCCAAAATATTCTTTTCTTCATTCCGCAAATCAGTTTTCTATAATAACGATATGTCAACGATATATGTAAGCGGAAACTCGGCAAAACATCGCTCAAACACGCTACATAAAAGATTCAAGCGGCATTAAGTTTTGACCAAAGGACATGATACGAAAATTTTAAAGGCTTCAAAAATTCTCGAGTGAATAAATGAAAAAAGGTGCGAAAAGTCGTAAAAACATTGCTTGTACGAGCTTATCTGGACGACCCTATTGGTAATCCATATTCTGTTCTTACAAACGACCGCTCATATTTATACAAAATATTCAGGTGTATTAGCACTGGCTTTTGGGCTATTTTGATGAATTTTCAAATCCTTTAAATATACACTCTGTTGAGGATTTGCCCCCTTAGAAATCCTTCTGGATTTTTCAGAAAGCACATGAAAGCAACCAACAACGCAGATTATTGATTTTGGCCAAAAAAAGAAGTTCGTCGGCTCAGTAGGTTTCGTCCTATGTAAACACATCATATAATGGCTGATCTTTGGTTAAATTCTGAAAACGACATATTTTTCCCATAATAAATCTGCTCGGTGGTCGAGGAAAGAAATTTTCTTCTGGTACCAATAATAGCGAGTATACGCATGCCCGTTACAATATCATAATTTGTCCGAATTTAGGTGCTCCCTAGTGCATATATAGTTCTGGTTGTTTTTTGCAATGCTAGCTATATATAAAAAACATTTCCCTGTTACATGGCTTGCTTCTTGTTCTCTCCCGTTTACTAACCTATTATAGATTTATTTATCTATAATTTTCAAAGTCTCATTATGCAGGCGGCGTGCTAAGGGCTAAGCTGTCAGTGAATGTGTTATCGTTGCCAACATGTTGTTCGTCTGTGTTGCCTTAAAGACTATTTAGGCATTGAAATGTCAATTACTATACATTTCGGTCCTTCTACTCCTCTAGCTAAATGGGAATAGATGCTTCTCTCCTTTTTTATGAATCGAATTGACATTGACGGTCGATGCTGATAATGCTATTGCGGTTGTTGTTGCCCTGCTCATTAGAAAAATTCTGCCGACGGCAGCATTACCTGGCATCGGTCGTTACTGAGTGTTTGGCTATCGTCCGTTTCGTTCATGTGCAACGTCGTAACTACCACAGCGACAGCTAACTTTGGTGGGTTTGTTTTTTACGAGTGTTTACGGGGTGTGGCCGACCATCACAACTTTCCTTCTTTCCAGGTTTCATTCCTTCCCCCGCAATGGCCACACTACCGTCCGGTGCTGTGATTACCGGACACCCGGCGGTACACGAAAGCAATAATAATAATAATGTTACGTAATCAAAGAGAACGCACTAATGCGGTAGGCCCGACAATTTTACTCTTGACTTATCAATCGATTGTGTCTGATGGATCCGTTAGACTAGTTACTGTCTCGCCATAACCCAGACATATTCAGCGCCCCTGGCGAACGGAACAAGAAGCACAACGGGAACAACAATAACACGATCATTAGGCACATTCACAAGTGCGCTTTCTCTTACATATATAGATCACAGGTATCGCATAATTTCTATTTCAGTTTATCATTGATATTATTCAAATAACTGGATGTGTCGTTTTCTGCCATGTAAGCACAGATTGCTTACACACAAATGTTCTACAAAGGGCTGGCAAGCTAGCGCGGTATTGGGACTCGAGGAGTAGAATTAGAGCTTTTTCCCGCACATTCTATATGTGTTTCTCTCTATTCTTGAAATTTATTTGGATTGATTCTGTATGAGGGCTGCCACCAAATAAAATTCGATTTATCAAATCGGACTTTTCAGGGAAATCGTACAAGTGTGAAGGAAGGTATACGTCTAATAAGGACATATTATTTCACATTGCTCCTTCGATGTCGATACAAGCCAAAGGCCATCTTAGGTTGTTCTTAGCATTGTTTTGCAACAATTTTTTTGTTCTAGTCTATATATGCTAGAAAAGCGACAACCGCTTTGTGATAAGGCTAAATAAACAAGTAACTGACTGTTTATGTTCGACGAGATCCTATTCCCTAGTTCATTACATTGCTAGAGCGTATGGGGGGGGGGGGAAGCAACCTTAAAAAGCACCTGTTAGAAAGCCTAATATGACGCCCCGCGTATATCTATATTTTCGATATGCTATTTCCAAATCAATGAAGTGCTCTCAGCATCGAGTCGATCGGTTCCAGTGAATGCTACTGAAGTTATCGTGTAGAAGCAAACTCCTCTATGTCATCACTTTCCCAACGCGTTTGTATTAGATAGGTGAAATAAGTTGTGAAAGAAGGAACAGTCGACCTTTCGGATCAGCTACTGTCTTTTTGAGTTCTACTCCACTACTTCTATTTATGTGCTTATCTGCAACAGCCTAAAGTAATTAAATTGTGAATAGCAAGTCACTAACGTATATGTGCGTTATTCGAATTAAGACGGCGTAATATTTCGCCTATATATGAGCAAATTCAACAGTCAACCACTGTTTTCTCTACTGCTCGGTTGAGAAGTTATGTAAGTTATAGAAGTTGACTTTTTTGGAAAAACATGTTGGACAAACACAACTTGAGTAATCGGGTAACGGTCAGATTGCAGAATGGAACCTTGCTTATCAAACGCGCTGTCCGTCTTTCAAGGGAAGCCACAAAACGTCGGGAAATTTTTCCTCACCTCTAGCTTAAAAGCAAACCTACGTGTCGTTTTTAATCATCATACTTACGGACCACCGCTAATATCTAGATAGAGTAAATATAGATCTCCATCGACTCTGATTGTTTTTATTACTGTTGTTCAAGTTGGCTGTGGCCAAGACCTTCGCAATGTCTGCTCTATTTACCCTTTTGTCTTAGGCAGAGCGGCCGCACTGGGAATGTTGTCGATTTGATGGACTTCGGCCTGTCTAGCTGACTGAACTGCACGTGAATGATACCTGCAGCCTGTAAGCATAAGAGGATCGGCTGCCGTTTCTTTACTACGCATCGAAAGCCCACCAAATTATAAATGGATAATAATATCATTTTGCTTCACTGGTAAGAAGTACAATACTACACTAGAGTGCACTTTCTGACCCAACCTTTCTGTTATAGGGTTTAGATAGTCCAAACATACGCACTAGCCGTTGCCTTTGAGATTAAATATGGCATCAAAGTGCCTTCTAGACATTTGAGGGTGAATGCGTATACTCACAAGAGTGCATTATTAGAGCCACATTGAACGAATGGAAAATCGTCGTGCAGTGTATGGGGTAATGCCCGTTTTATACTTCAATTAGGTTAGAGTATCTCGTGTCGCTCGAAAGATTAAACACCATTTCGAAGGGCGGGCCTATTTTCTACCAGTTTTACGAAGATCGCAGATTGTTCTTGGTGGAAAACTCACCTTCTTATAGCAAGCCCAAATTTCCAACTATTTTTGGAAAACCTACCTTCTGGTAGTAAGCCTAGATTTCAAACTGCTTTTCGATCGAGCACTTAACTTGCTGATTTTCTATTGTTTCGTGGGAAAGTAAAGTTAGAGAAATATAATTGATTTCAAACTACAATTGCTTAAACGGTTTAAGATACTGACACATTGTTAAATATGGTCTGAAATATAAAACAGTTCGTTCTGCGCACGATAGAAATATTTTTCCTTTAATAGTGATTACTAGTACTGTGAACAATTCGTCTTCCGGTTCTTATGGTACTAGCTCTTTATGTCCTTTATATACATTTCCTTTACCATATAGCCGTAACCTTTATGAGTCATATTCCACGTCAGAATATGTGTGTATATTTGTGAATCTGTGAAAATCATTCATGGATAACGCATTCTATCTAGGCGTGATACAGCAGGCTTTCTCATTTCCTTTCCCGTATCGTTGCGTAAAGTCTTAGTAGCTTCTCAATGGTCCTCTAGTTGTTCCTGTGCATCCCTAAAAAGCAAATCAAACATCAACACGTTTTCGTCCTGTAAAAACAGCGTCCCTGCTAAAGCAGGTACCATAACGGTATCAACGATTTCACATGTTTTATGTTGCACCAGCGTTCTTTACTTTGATGCCTCACACTCTCGCGCCAGCTTGTTCTGATCTTCTCTACTCGTCGTTGGTGTATCACCATTCCCATCCTTGATCATGTCGTCGGCGGCATACTGAGGAAATTCCTGTGGCGCGCCGCTTTGAATCAAGCACGGCTTATCTGTTCAGAGTTCTGTTCACTGGAAAATCCGTTTCTTTAAAAAAATATAGCTCTCGCGATATTTTTTGCTCGGCTTACCATTGCGGCTCAGGTAGCGCTTACGACGATCGCAATCGCGATTCAATGACCGAAATGAAGGCTACGGACTTATTGATGTACTGAAGGCTCGTAGTGAACCTGTCGCCAGCGACGGACACCCGCTAAGGTATGGCTGGCCAGTACTAACCAGTGCTTGGCAGTGTCCTGTCGTATGAATACGTCTTCAGCTGCTGCTACTGCCGATCCCTCTTTTACATAAAATCCCAGCAGCTTCAGCCGCCGGCCGCATAGTGGGGTAATCATATTGCTGGTGTAGAGAAGTGGGTGAGCAGTACGAAGCAATCCAAACTTGTCCGGGGCAATAATAATGATATGTCATTGCACCGTAGGAGCCGCAGCTCCACAGTGCCGTTACCAGGACTCAGGAGAGTTCCCAGGGTTTAAACATAGCGTCTACGAGCGAATAGCAATTGGCAACGTAAAGCAATATATACAGCTGACGTAGTGCTTAGCGCTGTCGGCAATGGTAAACTAATACATATATTGTCCAGCAGCATCTGTATTTGTATCTATATGTGTATGCGGCTGATATGGGGGGCACGTACCGCCTGCGACTGTCGTACCGTCCACCCGTGCCGGTTCATCATCGCCGTCATAATTTTTTCGACAATAATCTGCTAACAGCTACAACAATCGCAGCTGGTACGATTCAATGACGATGCTTGAGCGTCTCTTATGTATTGCAAGCGATAGTGAAAGAGGCGGTAGACGAAATAGTGAAAGCGACGGCACACGGTAACAATTGCCACCGTATGTTGCACCGATACGTTGCTAGTACGTGGGTAAGCACAGCTGCTACTTCTCTGTTGAGGGCTAATGGAATATACATTTACTACTGCTAACAACGCATTACGATCGCCGTATAATGCTGACACAGCGGTTGAGCTAGAAAGGAAAAACGACAGCAGGCAGCATGGGCCAATCGGAGGATCTGAATGACGCGCCAATTTGCCGGTACGTTCATTCGATCAGACGCAATGATCCCCCCTGCCCACCCCGTATTGTCGAGGGTGGGGGAGAACGTGACGTTTCAGGGCATGGTCAAACCGTTAAAAACGTCCCAACAGTTGTAACCGCCTGTCAGTATCCACTCTACCTCCGTCCGGTAAGGATGCTTGCTTACTACTTGTGCTGAACGCTGTTGATATCAGATCGAAATGGACAACTCAGTGTGTACGCCATAGTACTGCTATGGAGTATTGAGGAATCTTAATGGGAGCCGATTAGTATTAATAGTATAGGTACGCTAGGGAAGCAGGTGACTTAGAGAGGAGGTGCCGGTCAAGTCGAGCGTAGAAAAAAACGCTATCATTGTGTACCAATTAGTGTATTTGAAGTTAAGTGGAATTAGGATTTTCGAAGGGCAGTTTCTTTCGTTTTGACCCTGTGCTGTGTCTCAAGTCAGTGGCGATTGTATCGTAATAACTTCCGAATTATACGTCTACCTAAGTAGTTGTTAGTAGCATTGTAGGAACTTACAAATAGCAATATTAAACGTGAGCCAATTTAACGACGAATAAAGAGGAATCGCTCAAAAAGCATCTCAGAATCACCTCTGATGAGTAGTTTTGTCTACCATAGACTTTAACAGGTTTAAATCTCCGTTCTTATCTACTGCGATATTTCAGTGTGACTTAGAGCAGAGTATAACTAGGGAGCTTTTACAAGGACGTCATGAAGCTCCGGCGATCATTTCTTCTTCTACTTTCAGCGACCTTATGCCTTGTGTTTCCAGTTTGTGCAGGCTTTAGGTTAAAAAAACTCGCCAAGGCGGCCCTTCTTGGAGCAGCAATTGCCCCGCGATTCGTCCCAATACCCATCCCGTAAGCATCTCTGAACGGTCTTTAAACAAATGTTATCAAAATACTGTATGTATGAGGAAGGTTGCCTTGTACATATGTGTTCGTACACGATTCCAAACCTATTGTCTAGAAGCAAACAAATTTAACAGAGCTTTGCACACTTGCAGTAATTTTTCTAATGATCTACTATGTAAAATTAGCCGTTTGATTTTCTCGAATTGCAAGAATATCTTGTCATTGTTATATTGCATTTTACGCGCTCGTCTTATACGCAATTTGTTGTTTTCTAACCATGTTTTCAGGCATCACGTGCATAAGAAAGAGCATCATGGATGGAATAATCATGGCTGGGATCAGGGATGGGACCACGGAGGCTGGAATAGTCACGGCCATGGACCTCTGCCAATCACATTCACCAAAGGTGGCTGGGAGAAGCATCATTCTGTGCACGACGCCTCCTTGGCGAGTCACGGCTGGTAGATGGCGTGGTAGATAAAAAACTAGAGACACTGAGAGTGTGCGACAAACGAACGCAAAAAAATATCACGCGATGCGTCGTTTCGATGTTTCAAACTTGGCATAAATGTTAAAGTGTCTCCAGTCGTCGTATCACGTAGGCATTTTTCAGTATTTCAAAATTTTTATCGAAATCGTTGTGTGAAGTCACAGGTCTATATGGAGAAAATGCAGAACAGTCCAAATAAGTACGTTTTACTTATTTAGTCGATTCCTAAATGAAACGATTCGCCGTTGTACGACCGACGCACACAGAGAACCTAAACGTGCTGCATGATTCCAGCATGTAGCCGCCATGCACAGTGCCTGACCGACTGGTACTTGTGCATTCTTATCAATAGTCCTATATAAACCAATTTGTAATATTAATGTAGCAGCATATTTATAAAGGTTCATAACATCAAATCAAGAGGTGGTTATAGCACAATAGCCCCCGCAGCTAAAGCAAACAGCCACCGTAGAAATAATCTTCCTATGTTATAAAATGAGCGTGAAGATCTCTCGCTGTGTGTGTGTGTATGAGCGAGAGCTTGCTTGTCTTGTTTGTTACCTTGTTAAGACTGCTGTGAATGTGTCGGGGCTGGGGGATGTTTGTTACATGTCCACGGCTTACGCCGACTATTGATGACCGTCGACTTTTAGTCACCCGTTGTATGCTTGTTTTATGATTCAGAGAAATTTGAGGTTCATGTGAATCGTCCTGCCCGTTATGGCAAGACAGAAAACAATGTGCACTTTGGCGAGTAACACTGGAGGTCGTCAACGGCTTCCGTGTTTATATGCCAACGTCTGCTAATTGTTCATGCACTGTTTATCGTACAGAACCTCCCAAGAGGACTCTCCATTTCAACAGCATTGTATTTATTTTCGTTGATGTCTCGTCAACGTGTTTTATTAACTACTACTATTATATGTAAGAACGTACGTACATTATGTTTAATATTAAGTTATTGTACAATGTAGCATTAGGGTAAACGTAGGATTGTCAAATAAATGTTACTGTATTTGTAAATTAAAGAAACTTTTTATTCCTGAATAAATTCCTTTATAAATGGAAGTGTCGTTAGTGGGCAAGCTTATATTTATTTAGTCCTAGAAGCAGTATCGCATTTTCAGTGAGTAATGAACTTTCTTTGTAACTGAGCGAACGGCTTTAAAAAGTTCAATTGAAATATGAACATAAAACCTCTGTGTTCAGGGACGGGGCGCTTTTTGTATGTGTTATTTCCACCTAAGCTATCGGCACTTCACACCTGGATCCTTTGAAAGTATACTAATGTAAAACATTAAATTATCTTAGCATTGAATTAAAATGGGAAATTATAAATAACTGATGCCCATATTTTAGTTTTTATCAGAAATCTGTATCCTTCCATTTCTATTCCCGGTTAATCTAAGCCTGAGCAAGTATATGTATGGATAATAATAGTACTATTATGCGATTCGTATTTCAAGACAGGAGAGGTTTTTGTTAAGAGAATTTGTCACAAAGCGCAACGAATGTCCTGCTTGTAATAAAGATATGCTCCTTGAAGAGCCTTTTTTTAGTTATTTTTTCGAATTTATGAGATGTTAAGTTTTTTTCTAAAAAAGATATTTGTAAAATCCATCCGAGTGCTCTTTTGCAGCGGTTCATCACTCTGCTTCGGGGGATCGTGAACGTTTATATTATATGATAAGCCCGTGCATTCGACAATAGTATGAAGTCTGGTCTTAGCTTCGACGCGATAGCCCTTCGTGTACGGTAAGGATTTACTACATTATTGGAAATGTTGAGATTGTACGTACTTCTTTGATCCCTAATGTTTTTTTGCGTCTACGACTGAATTAAATAGATATTCGTCGATTTTTGACACTATAGCAAAGTTGTACATCCTCGATTGCGAAAAAAAAGCACAGAAGTGTGCCAGTGTTTCAGACTATCGTGGGTCTGTTTTCAGCGGACTGACGGCGCTTCATTTGGACAACCTACGCAATAGACCTTGAGTAGTCTCGCGTCAGTTTACGGGTCAAAAGTCGTAAGGGTCAGTTACTGGAAAGGTGAAAAGTCTAGCGTAATACTGTTCAACCGAAGTCGTCATTTCCGGTCCGTATGACCTTAACATTGATTCATATGAATGCAAACGACCTGACGACCAGTAACACAGTGCCGGGAGGCATAGGGCGAGTGGTCTTCCCATAGCGTGATCTGCATATGCACAAAGAATATAATCGGATCCAATTAGCGTGGACTGTGTCGCAAAACAATTGCTAGGTTTATGGAAATTTAAGCAAAGAACAATGCACTATTTAATAATTCTATGCCAACCGGGTTTATTAAATTTCCCTGGTCCTCGTTTACAATAGAATGTTGGTAGTCTTTCATAACACTTTTCTAGAACAGTTTCAATATCATTTGTTCAAAATGAGATTAAATCATGGGTTGAAATGCTATATACAAAGGAATTATCGTCGTCTAATTGGTTTATCCTGTAGTATCGGCTCTTGCCGTCTGTGTGTGGCAAAGATATCACACGATGTTTAGCCTGAAGATGAAACATGTCAATCTTCGTAGCCATTTCGACGACCTAAAATCTACTCGGTGTAAATAGTCGAGTAAAATCCGTAAAAGGTTAGGACTTGGTATAGGTTGGCAGTCCTCGGAAATGGATTATGACCGTGACTGAGTTATAGAAATTTCTGCTAATAATATGAGACCGATACACCGATCGAGACAAGGTCTGTTTCGGCTTAACATTACGTTCCGTAACTTAAAATAGTAAATTTTAATTCTTTCGCACTACTGTTTTTATCATAAAACTATTGTTTTAATCCCGTTTAAAAAGTTTCGACTTGATACCGTGCTCAATGTGCCTGAAATTTCCTCCGCATCCAGGGATTTATGACTCTTCAAGGTAGTTTATAAAGTGCTTAATCAGTTACCTATATTCACATTATCATTATCGATTGCACCTGATAGGGTCCGATCATATCTTTCATATAGCTAGGATAACCTTTTCTCTATGAAGGGACAGACTTTTAGCATGCGCCTAAAACTGTAAGCGCACATCTCAAAGCTAGAAAGCGAGATTTGATAGGCCTGGCATTTAAACCTTGCTTGGGCATTTTGCACACTGTTATAGCAGTATAGATGATATCACCATCAGCACGACCTGTTAACAAGCGCTTGTGAAAAGAACTCTTTGTGTCGACTTTTTACCTTCAAAACAATCGCCTTTATTTCTCCTCTTCTGTCATTCAAGTGTCGACTTTATTTCACTGCTAAGTGAAAAGCCGCTAACAATATGGGAACAGCGTATTCGGAGACGTCTCTACTAGAGACAAGGGTTTTTCTGTGCATACGAAAAGTGTACGAACACCTACTATTTTCTCATATACATATACATAACTCATATACTTCAAAATAAGAAAAGTATCTTTCAAATCAGATTCACTCTGTATCAATGAAAAGTAGCTTATCTTTCTATATGTCAATAAAGTAATTCTTGCGAAATCCTCAACCCCTTTACCTCCTTTCTAGTGGCTGGTATCGACACAATGCTGAACCATGAATATCTGATAGGGTAGATATTTGGACACCCTCCCGAACTAACATAATAATCTGACTCCGTAACATCATAGCCGTATCGATTTTTGTATATTATGGATCTTTCTAATAGGCCGCTCATTCGCTAATTTTGCGTCGTCCCTCTCGACATATGGGGCGCAGTTAAAGTTCGAAGCAAGCGCGCATCTCGTGATGACAAGGGGATGTTTCTGAGACCTAAGCACTTAAGTATCCTTATACAGTTTACGTAGTATCTTATCTCGAATGTATGGATATTTTTTGTAGGAACTGCACTTGTCGTGTCTCTAACTGTTCTATAAGAAGGGTGCATTTTTAACGGATAATTTCCAGGCATCAAGTTCTCGAATCGGCGTTGATTACTTTCGTTACAACTTTCTGTTCAAGTCCTATCTATTTTTACAGGATAACTAAAGATGTATGTGGTCTGGCATCGTCGTGGCAAAGGACGACGCCTCTTCTATTTATTCGTTTCGGCCGATTTTTCATAACAGTCTCATTTATTGTTGGCAATAGATGATCAATTAATTGTCTTGCCAGGCAGCAACAGCTTATAATGCATGATTTCACCAATTACATAGTATTTATTACATTTTTTGCAGTTTGCCACAGATCGTAGAAGTTTTTTACTTTACACATCATCGTTATGTATGATTTATTTTTTATCATCTGTGGCCAACTGTTTTAAAAGTGACTCGATTTCGTTTTAGTTATAAGTATAAGTTTAGTAAATAGTTTTGTAGATGAACGTACGACCAAATATTTTTTCCAAACATCGAGCTTGTTTTCGTACCTAACATTCTTCGAACGGTTCAGAACTGTGCGGCAATGGTAAATGCTTAGCTTTTTGGCGATATCATGGTTATTTACACATCCTGCTCGACTTTCGCAATAATTCTATAAACTTTTTTCGTAATTGATCGACTACTACGAGAAGCATCTTTCTTCCTATAACGCACCTCGACCACAAATGGCAGCCATTTTTTTTTCATGGGTCTGAGCAGCATTTGCGCCTTTTTATCGTGATCTAACTGTAACAAATAGCAAATTTTAAAAAAAAATTTCATTCGGCTTCAAGACATCTTATCTGAGGTCTGAATAAAGGCAATTCCATCACTATTTCTAAATCTCTACTTCAAAATGGCATTCATATTGCCTGAACCATGTGACTTCAAAGTCGTCTAGATAGGAAAACCATGAGCGCTTTTTTGATAACCTATTGAAATTGTTCTATAGATAAAATCAGCCCTTGAAAATACAAATCTATTTTGGAATTTTTATGTTGCTTTTGAATATAGTCTATGTTCAAGATGCAATAGATTGAAACTTCAATGAATTCAATGAAAAATCAATTGCTACTTCCAGCTTATTGTGTTCGAAAACGTGCAAGTAGTGGCCGATGCCTGATAGATCACATATTCATCAGTATAAAAAGCTGGGTCTTGGAAGTTAAGCAAGGGCTTTCGTCTGAACATTCCTATGGATTCATCTCGTTTTCTATAAACATGGAAGTTGGCAAAGTAATAAAGATAGAAACCTGTAAATATTTTGCTAAATCAACACGTATTATGAGGTAGATGTTGCATTAAATCCTTTCCCGTAAACAAGTGACAGTCCATAAAAGTTATTTTATTTACTTAAATAGTTACCTTAACAGTAATGTGTGTCTGAAGAAGCTAAAATATGCTTAGTTTGTTCTAGTATTATGTTGAAAGGTTTAAGTTTGGGAAAATTCATGCATATGTAAGGTTAATTCACACAATATATGTTATGGATAAATATTGACCATCTATTTATTTTTTCTCTTAGATTACGTTGCGCCAATACGGACGTGACAAAAAAAAAAAATAGAAACTGCTGTTTTTGGTACGTTCTTGAGACGATTCCTAAGAAAAAATGTCAGCGGTAAGCTCACGAGCCAAGAAGCCACATAGGTGCACGCAGCTTCTTAATACCACTTAAATGTGTACCATAACGGTAAACACATGTTACTATTGACGGCCTGTATTTTCCACGTGCAAATAACATGTACGCACAATGTGTACTTTATTTACTACCCACGTACTTTTGCGTGACATTAATTACAACATTAAGTGAATATTGCCGTAAAAATGACACAGAGCAGGTATTGAAGAGAAAATTATTTTGAGTTACGAACTTATTCCTACAACTGAGCCTGTTTTTGTTAAACATCTAGATAACAAATGCCGCTACAGCCGCCCTTACTATCGTGACTGTGTTTCACGCTAAGTAAATGTAATAGCAAGCATCTACCCAGATTTCGTATTTTCTATAACGTGCGTCAATTTTATTCGTATCACAGGGTCCGCAATACACAGTTTAACACGTCTATATAGAATAATCCTTTCAGGCTTGTGAAACCGGCACCGGTAAATCTTGAAACACGTTGGCTGTGATGTTGGTCATCGTCGTTGATTCAATTACGATATATTTTAGTAAAGAG